GAGCTATCAGGTCAGTTTTGCGTTGCTGCCTCTGCCAACTAGGACCGTGATTCCGCAAGCCAAGAAATCAGAGGGCGGTCATGGCCCACCTGCCAAGAAGCATAGCGATGGAGGAGAATGCAACAAAGGGAGGCATGTTTGCCCGGTGTGCTTCGAGCCTCACACGCTTGCTCAGCACAAGAAGTCCTCTAAGTGATCGATGTGGGGCAGCCGCAGCTGCCCGTGAACCCTGTTGAGCTGCTGAGTGCGCCTAGTGGCGAATGTGTGCCAATGCATTTCTTGGGAAAATTTGAAGCACCTCAGCAGGACGCACTCGTGAGGCCACAGCCCGCCACAGAAGAACTCGATGTTGCAATTTTGACCAATCCTAATGATAATCCTCTTGAAATTTTCACGGATGATGTGACTCCACGTGTCAGTGTGAACTTGACAAACCCAACGAGCGACGTTCTTGACGAATCCCGGACAACTCAGGAAATGAGCGATAGTCCTCATGTGCATGGGCATGTGCATCCGCTTGAAGTGCCAGTGCCCCAGCCTCAAGCATGTACCAGTGCTCCATCCCGACTTTGCACGAGTCATCCAGTTATCATTGAAATCTTTGCCGGATCAGCCAGAGTTACCGCGTGTTTAAGGAGCCTTGGCCTTAAGCGTTGCTTTGGTGTGGACCACGTTAAGATAATGTCATCTGGGCCAGTAATGGTGGCAGACCTCACCACAGATGAAGGCATGGAACTGTTGTGGACCTGGTTGCGGAGTCCAAATGTGCTTGGTATCTTTGCTGCACCGCCATGCGGAACTTGTAGCCAGGCCAGAACCATCGCCCTTCATGATGCGAGGGGTCGCAAGCTGCCAGGCCCCAAACCATTGCGCTCTGCACTTAAGCCGAATGGCTTTGCGCATCTTCAAGGCCAAGACGCTCTCAGGGTTTCCCTGGCTATGCATCATGTACTTGTCTTTTGCCACCAGCGGGACATGTTAATCTGTGTGGAAAACCCTCGTTCATCTTTGTTTTGGCTAACAGATGCATGGAAAAAGCTCCCTTTTCGTTTACAGTTCACTGCGCATCAGGCATGCGCATATGGCGGCAGACGACCAAAATGGACTGTGCTTGCTCACAATGTCCCGGGCATTAGCAAAATCCGCAAAGAGTGCCCAGGTCAGTCCCCGTCACACGTGCACCTGCCTTGGGGATTGACTTGGAAGCATGGCAAACGGGAATTTGCCACGAAGGAGGAAGCCGCATACCCTATGCTGTTGGCGCTTGAAATTGCGTCTGCATTCGCTTCAGAATGTGCCAAAAGAGGTTGGCAGCCTCCCGCAGTTTCGATTGATGATGCTGTCCAACGTTTGCAGTTGTCGGCCAATAAATCACAGCACTCTTCCATCCACTTGTTGCGCGCAGCCGCTGGGGTGCAGTCCCGTGCCAGCAAAATGCCGCCGCTTGTTGCTGAGCATTGCCAAATTCTTCAAGGGTATGGGCCGTTAAAATTGCTGCAAGAAGCGCCTGTGAGCCAATGAAGCGCTTGAAACAACCTTGGCGGCTGCCTGCCGGCCTGTGCGCCAATGTGGAAGAAATTCCAGCAGAAGCACAGCTTCTGCGGTGCGCACCAGTTCGGTTAAGCGGGGGAGGTGAAAGCAGCGAAAACTTTGTTCAGGCTTGGGGTGTACCCTTTTCGCCCATGTGCTTCGTAGATGCTGCTCTTCGTGCAGGGCACCCTAAATCCCTATTTGCAAAATTGCCAGAGCCTTTGGCCTTAGCCGTGGCAGTGCATGGCCGTGACACAGTGGGTGTCATCGCGCAGAAACGAGCAGCCTGGTGTAGGAAGTGGACACAGCGAGCCTTGGAGTTGCAAGAGGAGGAAAACAATTTGAAGTGCAAGCTGGCGCCGCATCTGCGCAGCCTACTGTCTGGGAAGCGGCTAATGCTTTGGCGTGAAATGTTGGTCGAGTGTGATTACCCAGACATGGGGGTTTTTGATGAACTGGTTTCAGGCACAGCTCTCACAGGGCCTGTGCCAGCTACTGGAATTTTTGAGGCAACCTTCAAGCCTGCGTCAATGACGGAAAACCAGCTCAAGCAACAGGCTAGAGCGAGCAGGGTAGCCATCATAAATGCGGCCAGAACTTCTGGGGACCCTTCGGTGGATGAAGAAGTGTATGCTAAAACGCTTGTGGAAAAAGATCTTGGGTGGCTCGTGGGGCCCATCGAAGTGGCCGACCTTCCTGACCATGCCATCGTGAGCCGTAGGTTTGGCCTGAAGCAGGGTGCCAAAGTCAGACTCATCGATGACTTCAGCGGATCAGGGGTGAATTCGACGGTACAAGCTTGTGAGAGTCCGAAGCCGCATTCGACAGACGTGGTTGCTGCTGCAGCTGGCTCGTTCCACCAATGGTGGAGGCATGTTAGGGAAGTGCTTTGACTTGTGTGCAGCGTATAGACAAATGGGGGTGCACCCGTCGTCCCTTTGGGCTTCCTTTGTTGTTGTGTTCAACCCCCATCTTCGCTGTCCCCAGGTTTTTGCTCTCCGAGCCCTTCCGTTCGGGGCTACAAGATCCGTGCATAGCTTCTTGCGGGTTGCGCGCAGTCTCTATTGGATTGGCGCCTCTTCGTTAGCTTTGTGCTGGACTGTTTTCTTCGACGATTTTGTCACCCTGACACCGCCATGCCTGGCAAGCTCATCAGAGATGGCGGTAGATGCACTGTTCAGGCTGACGGGGTGGAAGTACGCCACCGATGGTGACAAATGCCGCCCTTTCTCCACATGTTTCAGTGCTCTTGGAATCACAGTTAATTTGGAGCACATTCGGGACGGATGGGCCGAATTCGGCAACACTGCCAAGCGCAGAGCTGAGTTGGGTGACACTCTTGAAGCCGTTTGCAACAGGAAAAGGCTGAAGCACTCAGGTTGCGGGGCCGCATGCAATTTGCGGATGGACAAATTTTCGGAAGAGCCAGCCGTCTTTGCTTAAGGGAGGTTGATAAGCATGTTTTCGAAACTAGCGGTTCAGCCTTGTCAGACGATTCCATAGCAGCCATCTCAAGGTTCGCTTGTTTGTGGCGTGAAGGAGCTCCAAGGAAGATTTCCATAGATGCAGGTTCGCCGTGGTTACTCTTCACAGATGCTTGCCATGAGAAAGGGGCAGCTTGGGCATGTGGGCTTGGAGGAGTGCTGTTTGGTCCCACGGGAGAACTACACTCCTTCTTCTCACATTGCCTTAATGATGAGCAAAGGGAGGCTTTGGGTGAACTCCGCAAAAAGACAACCATCTTCGAAGCAGAGCTGCTCAGTGTTTGCATCGCGTTCGCACTATGGGGCCGGCTCTTTGCGGGCCACCCGATTGTGTGTTATGTAGACAACAATGCGGTCCGTGACGTTCTCATTTCTGGCCGTGGAAGGTCCAACATTGCCAAGCATCTTGTGGAGGTTTTGCTGAATCTTGAAGACAGCCATACGGTCTTGACTTGGATTGCCCGTGTGCCTTCGCCATCCAACGTGAGCGATGGACCTTCAAGAGGATTCGCGTCTGAGCTTGAGGCCCAAAATGCAACATGTTGCAATGTGGAAAATTTACTTGACATTCTACTAAAGGGAGAATCGCTTGACGGTTAAGATGGGGTGATGATAAAGCAAACTGTGCTGCATGCGCCCGTGCATAAGTGTATCAGACTTGTGCATTCAGTGACCATTTCGACTCAGATGCAATCTTGGACATCCCATTGTCACCACGAGAAAAGGAGCGTCGACTTTCAATCTTTCGAGATGTGATTTGTATATATTTCTATGTGCGCTTGCATACTGGTTCTCAGGTTGGCGTCTTTGGTTTGGCTCAAGAAATAAGTAAGCGGTCACTTGTGATAGCACGTTATTTTGTGAGCCAACCAAAGTGAAAAACAGTGGTTTTTCAAGCCAGCCTGTGAGTGTGTGTCATGCCGCAGCATGGGCTGAGGAGGGTGGGTGTCTCTGTTCATTCGGTGCACCTTTTTGTCCCGCCCAGCCCGCCCTAAATTACTTGCAGTGGCCTTGCGTCTCACTTGTGCGCAAACTATGCGGCAGTGGCACCAATGATGCAAACTATGCAACAGTGCACCATGCACACGTGCCTCAGACTTGCGTGCTCAGCCAAGTTTCACTTTCGGGGTGATGATAAAGCAAACTGTGCTGCATGCGCCCGTGCATAAGTGTATCAGACTTGTGCATTCAGTGACCATTTCGACTCAGATGCAATCTTGGACATCCCATTGTCACCACGAGAAAAGGAGCGTCGACTTTCAATCTTTCGAGATGTGATTTGTATATATTTATATGTGCGCTTGCCCTTTCTTACGGATTTACTCCTAGGTTCATAATACTGGTTCTCAGGTTGGCGTCTTTGGTTTGGCTCAAGAAATAAGAAGTTTCTATTGTGCGAGACCGCATGTCCCCAATGCCTGGGTTTCTCTTTTGCTTCAGACCGAGCCAAATTCAGCACGAGATGGAACCATTGTCAATAGGAAGACGGCAGTGAACAAATTGGAATCCCAAAACGAGGCTGTTGGCTAGTTGCAGTTTTCATTTTAATTGGCATCTTAGTTCTCGTTTTTGGCTGCATTGTTTGGGGGAGGGGTCCGACTGCATTCAGAACATCATCTTCCTCGCCACAATCCACTGCAGCGCATTCGCCTTTTTGGATTGTAGCTTTGTAGTTGCCAATGCTACATCTGAAGCCTTTTGCAAATGAGTTACATGATTTACTCTCCTGGCTCTGAAAAAAACAAAGCATAACTGAATCAATCCGCTAGTGATTCAGCTTTCTGCAGGCGCTTGGAGCAGAGGCACAGCGTCCCGGAGGCCAGCTGAGAGGACTTGGGATTTCAGCTGTTCGATTCCTTGCATTAAAAACGGGAATTTGGACACTTTGGTAAGTGAGCTGAGGTCTGCCTCTGACAGCAACATGACTGTCGTGCAGGTGGGAACCTTGGTTCACAGCATTTTTGTGACTCAGAGCTCCTTGCCAAGGATGGGGAGTCCACGATTTGTGCAGAAGGCAAGGAGTACTTCTACGTTTACTTTCATGTTACACTGCGTGACTTCCAGTTTGGTATGTCTTTGTTTCCAGCTGCGGAATGGGTTCTTGCTGTGCGCATTCACGTATGAGCTGCGTGGGTCTGACGCATCTTTTTGCTCTGATGTAGAGGCTGTAACAATACTTGCCGCGATTTGGCAACAGTCACCTGGAAGCACAGTGTGAATGAACTGGTATGAACTGGTGAGGGTTCAAGACTTCGAGACAGCTTTGAAACACACTGATATTTCCTTTCGAGTGTTGAACCTTAACAAGAAACAAACATTTTTTTGGAAAAGCTTGGCCCGACACCTGCCCAGTTGTGAGGGGATCCTCGGCAGCGACTGGACCAAGTGGAGCGGAGCATGGCCATGCTCCTGGGGAAGAGTTCGCAGCAGGCCCAGATCTTTTGATCTGTGTTGCATTGATTGCAAGTGTGTTGGCGTCTGTTTGTGGCACCTCATTGTTAGAAATCGATGAGTTGAGCAGCCAGGTGTCCAGTCCAGATGCCCGCTACCACCATCGAAATCCAGGTTAGGTTGACAGGTCTCAAAAATATATTGAAGTTGCAGGATGTGTCCAAATGGGCTGCTGCTGTGTGTTGGTCCAGTTCAATCCTTTGACATGGTGCAAGCAGTTTTGCCATCGCTTGTGAAATTGAAACCGAACGCTGAAAACAGGTGCTTCCGATCAATATCAGCCAGGAAGAGCATCTCCTGCAGGCAGAGTTTCACTTGAAAGATGTTGGGATGTTGACATGAGAGGTTCCTTTCTAAAACGAGCCCACCGTGTTTCTAGAGCAGCTCGTTCATCCAAGAAAGTTCCAATTTTCATAAATCATCCTTGTTTGGATATTGTGGAAGGCAGAAGAGCACGGAGGAGCTAGCGACGAGTCGCCAAAGAATACTTCCAGGTAGTTGCCGTTTCTTGTGACACACTAAATGCTCTGTTCTGAAAGGATTCAGCAGTGTAGGTTCTGGATGCTGTGCGCAGCATCGTCCGTCATGGATTTAGTGCTCAGTGCTCAGATGCCATTTTGAGCTGTTGGTTTCTCTTTCTTCGCGCAGCAACATGTCAGCACATGCCGTCATCACAGGCTCCTGCCGCTGACCGCAAAGCTTCTGTGAATAAGACAAGGGTGGTGATCGCAAAGCTGTGAGCCGAATTCAATGCAAAAGAAGATCTTACACCAACAATTCAGGATTGAATCTTCCAGTGCCAGTCACATCATTTGTTGCTTTAAGCTCTGTGCACGCGCCTGGGAAAAAGGTATATGCGGAGGCTTTGACCAATCCAGCCACGCGATACACCAAGGTCTTTTTTTCGTACACATGCTCGAAGAAACTGGGGGCATCACGGAATTTGAAGCAAACTTTCGCAGTTCCTTTCAAAAAACAGATGGCTGTTGTTAGATTCAACCAACAGGGCTTTTCCTTTCGCACCTTTCTTCACTTGTGTTTTGCCCACAGCAAGACAGTTGCAAGCTGCTAAGCAGTCTTGTCACGGTCTGACGGGTGCAATGCAAGGAACTTGCGCGCAGCAACTTTCAAATGCACATGGCCTTGGCTGTCTATTTTCGTTCTCACACTTTGCACCTCAGCTCTACGCCAATGAAAAGCAGAGTGGTGAGTAGGGCCTGTTGTCCATCCTGACTTGCTTGGTTTCTTTGGCCTGTTTTGTTTATCGCAAACAGTACTTGACCATGAGTTTTGTGTAGGACTCTTTACACAAAGGAGTGGGCGTCGTACTCTGGGCTAATGCAAGTGTGTCATCTGCATTTTGCAGGGTCCCTGCACAAATCAGCTCGGAGTTTATGCAGAAGTTGTCCGGCAAGGCAGCTGTCAAGATTGGCAGATGAATCCAGACAAGACTAGACAAGACCACATCGACGCATCATTTAGTTTGAAGCCTGTTGGACATGCCATTCATTGAAACCTTTTTGTCTGTTTTAGCACGGGCGAACTAGTCTGGCCATGATCTCTTGCGTGCTTTTGGTCTTGCACCTCAAAGCACGGAACCTAAAGTGTTTTGATTTGCGCTTGTGTGGGCGTATTGACAGCATTTGTGAAACCAATGCAGTGTTGCAAAGGCCCGAGCAGCCGCTGCCAAGCAAGCAAGGCGCGCACTCAGAGAAGGTACAGCAAAACTAATCTGACCCACAGGTGTTGTGCAAAGAACCCTCCTGAGCGAGCGAGAGTGGGGCATGGGCGCGGAAAAGTGAAACAGGCTAACTTGCTGTCACTGCCAACGAGCAAGACATAAGATGCAGATGACGCCGAGAATAAGTTCTGTCGCCTAATTGTTTGCCAAAGCCACGCCTCCCTATATGATTGATGTCTGGCTGTTCAGTTGCGTGCGGTGTCTTTGTTGTTCTTACCCCCACAAAGTGCAATCATTGCGCCTTGCGTGCATTCCTCCAAGTAGATGGTAGGAAAAACCAACAAGGATTTGAGGAGCAGGACCAGGCGGGCTTTTTTCCTCACGCTCACCTGCAATGCTGTCTTTGATTAGCATGCGCATCCCAAGCTATGTCTTGTCGCGGAGGAAGCACATGTCCCCGAAGCGCCTCCTCTACCTGTGTCACCTCAGATATTCAGACAGGCGCTGGGCCTCCAGTAATACGCTTTTGAACCCAACTAGCCCAACCGTTTCACATGGATTGGCACATATCGAGTGCGCCATGAAGTGGAGGAGTCTTCAGCAGAAGCAGGCTGCAAGGTTACAAAGAAGACAAAAGGGACAGCCAAAGCAGTGGTGCGGGGCATAGCCTTTCATGCGTTTTAGGCGCGGCTGGTAAAAGGTGGCCTAGCCTGTGCTGCATTTGCATTGCGTACTCAGCTTGAGCTCTTTCGGGGGGAAGTGTGCTTGTGCCGATTCCTGTAAGAGCTTTTGTCCACATGTAGGTTTCAAGAGAGAGCGTACCCTCCAAACTGATTGCAACATGCTCACATGGTTTGCAGTCTTGTCTGCGTGCAAATGAAGGATGCGCTTGTTAAACTTCTCCACCACAGGCGAGGATTGTGGATGAGAAGAAGCGCTTCAAAATCAAGTGGCGTGGTTATCAGGTCTCAGAGACTTGTTTGGGATTGAGTGTTGACAAGCCTTTGGAGATCACCATAGCTGCCCTTGGAGATGACAAGCGCAAATTGTCAAGAGCGTTCCGCGTGCGAAGGAAATAGCGGCGAAGTGTACGAAACTTGAGATGGCAATGATGACTTCAGAAATGCGGTGTTGGATTCGATGCAGACTCAGGCTTGCAACTTGCGCGGCAAGGACGGCGGAAGAAGGCTGTGGAAAAATTGAAGGAGATTGCTTGTGCATTTTCTTCCCATGTTGATTCATGCTGGAAACAACACATCAATGCGAGCCATTCCCGGGCCAGGAAAGGCTGAAGGCGAGCTAGTGGACTCTGAAGGCGGTTGTAGAAGTCAACCTGCAATGTGCCCAAAGGGCACTCTTGGCTGAGCGAAGCCTATGTACTTTTGCAGCGGCATTACAGACCTGAAAGGGTTCTGTCGTGCGGGTGTGTCCTTTCAACGGCCAAAGGCAATAACGCGCAGGGAGATAGTGGGGCGCTTAATTCGTCAAGCCATGTTTTTGACTACATTTGTATCAGTTTTACAGTTGATTGAGTCACGCTTATTTCTTTTGTAGGCCTTCTCATGCCCTGCATTCAAGACACCTTTGCTCAAGCGGATCTCTGGAGTCAACCAGGTACCAGCAAACATGTCTCGCACATCGCATGCTGCACATGGAATGCAACACAATTTACAATGTGTAGTGTACACAGTTTCTCCTGATGGCACATACATGTCAAAAGGTGTACGTAGACTGCAACTTAAAACCATATATGATGCATTAACAAATTTTAACAAAAAGAACTATTGAAACATATTGAACTATGATAACAGGTAAGGCTAAGATTTACCATGGGCATCTGGATTTTTGAATGTGATGGTTGTTTGCCTTTGCTTCTTCCGCAGCCATTTCATGAGCTCTGCGAACGCCCCTTCGGCAGGCCTGCGGGGACTGTGGCTATCGTGTTGAGTGTAGCTTTTCGAGGCCTTGTGCGGAGCTCTGGCAGTTCCTGGAAGAGGCTCCGGCCGGCAGAGAGTGCTTCGCAAGCAGTAATAACAAGCTCAGCTCTTTGCATGTTTTCTTTTCGCAGAAATCTGAGTGTCCAAGTCATGTTGGGCTTGTAGCAGCGATGAAACAGCGTATCGGAGCCATGTTCAGCCGGGTGCCCGGTAGCGTACCAGCTCTAGGCGCAGGTGCTGCTATCGGTGGCTTTGTGCTAGACGCTTGGAAGCGCCGGCAAGAAGAACAAGATCGCGCTCGTATGGTTAATCGCGTGATCCACAGTTCCTTCCACGCTTTCCAGCCCAAAGTGGAAATCCCGCGCGAGCAGGTCCAGGCCCGGTGTCATGCACAAGTCGTCAGCATCCGTGTCGCTTTGTCTTTCACCCTGTTGTGCTAGGTCACCATGAAGCGCCTGCTGGATCTGGATGACCGCTCCCCCGTGCTGATCTGGGGCAACCACCTGGCCGGTAAGAGCTTTGCCCTCTTCAAGGCTTTCGAACAGGCAGGCTTTCGCGAGGGCATCGTCCACGTGCAGCTCCACAGCGACAAGCACATGGCAGGAGAAAAGCTTTGCCAGGAGCTGGGTGCCCTCGGCGACGTTGAGGCAAAGGAGGCCTTGAAGCAGGCCGCAAAGACGCTGAGCCGACGGCCCATCATTGTCCTGGAGATCCCCCGGGAGGTCAGCGACATGGCAGTTGTACGCAGTTGTTCTGGCTTCGCCAAGACATGGGGCTACGACGCCGAATTGGCGAAAGTCATCGTGTTGGCGAGCAGCGCCTCCATGGCCCTGAGCTTTGATGCGGACGCCCGGGAAGTTCGGTTCCAGATCCAACCGCTGAGCGAGGAAGAGTGCCAGCAGGAGGAGGCGGGTTTGCTGAGAGCGTTCCTTTGAGTTTTTGTTTGGCTCTCCCTGACCAGGTCCAGACGTTCCTCAAGCACCACGGTGGAGCCGTCGCCGTCGAGCACAAGTCGGAACTCCTCCACCTCTCCGGCGGCAACGTGGGCAAGTTGGAGGCCGGTGCATTGTCTTGTCTTTCCAGCCTTGTCTTTGCAAAGGCTCGGTGTGTTGCGAAGCCTTTCCAGCCCCGCAGGACCTGGCGCAGGCCTTGCGGACCAAGACCTTCGAGGAGGTCCGGCTCGAAACCATCAGCGCGCAGGACGGGGTTGACTTGAGCCTTTTTGTTTTGCGCCTTTTTGTTTTGCGCAGTCAGGAGGAGGAGATCCTGCGCTTCTTCGGCATCGATGCGCAGGGCGGCTTCGGCCCAAAAGAGGTCCCAGCTGCCAAGGAGGTGGCCCGCCGCGTGGCGGACGCCCCCTTTGAGCAGTGCGTAAGGTCCGTGGACTTCGCTGACCGTTTCACCAGCAAGGATCTGGCACAGGCGGTGAAGGCACGAGGTGCCCACTGCATCTATGTCAAGGCCACCACTAAGGCGGCTGAGCGGTTTTGTGCAGCGTCGCCATCCGTGCACGCTCTGCTCAAGAACACGAAGCCCAAACGCCGAGGAATGTTTTGATGAAAAAAGGTTGCATGGAAGGGCTTCCACAGAATTCCGGCCAGCCAACTGCGCAGGGCCCCCTACTGTTTAGGTTGAGACAGCCTAGGTTGAGACAGCCTAGGTTGCCCAACAAGCATCAGAGTTTGAGTGGAAAGAGGGGCAAGCTGCCAGTCGATGTTGACTTACTCTGCGCAGGCGGCGGCAGTGCAGATCTCAGGTTCCTGTTCAAAGTGCAGACCTCTGAGTGCAAGTGCCCGGTGAGAGTTGTGGCTAAGGCAGGGCGTTACGTGTGTTTCAGCAAAGTCTCCATTTCTCCAGGCACATGAGCCTTGAGCCAAAGTATTTGGCAACCTAATGATGACAAAAGTAAACATGCAAGAGGGGACAAAAGTGCATGATATTTCGCACCCCTTGACTTAAAGCCCTGTGACTTTAAAGTCGCACTAATTAACCTTGCATGTTTCAAAGTTGAATAACCATGCAAAGTACTGAAAAAGTCAAGCTACTAGTTCAAAATTCCAGGATCAGAAAAGTTCAGTCAGCATCTTTTCAATTATCCTACCAAAGTTGACTTCGAAACCAAAAGTTGGGATGTCTCTAGTACAAAGTGGTTGGCGCCTAAAGCACTTCAAAACTCCTTTGCATAGTTTGCCTTAAATAAAAGTGAGAGTGCCAAAGTGAGTCTGTCCCATGAACGTAGTTCAAGGATCACTTGAACAAAAAGTAGAAACAAAAGCTTGAAGCAAAAAGAAAACGACAGCAAAGTCGACGCCCAAAGTTTCAGGTGACACTCAAGTGAATTCTGAATTCAAATCTACAGCATCGATCTGAAAAGTGGAACCAAAAGTTCTCAAGGGATTGCATGTTCATTATCTGTGATTAGCCATGGTTAATATCATCATCAGGGACGTCGCGTTAGTGACCGACCTGTGGTGTTTTGGCTCAAGTTTTGGGTTCCGTCGCGCCTCGAATGGGCGTCGCCGAACCCCTGCGTCGACCGACGGCATCTCGGGGGAGAAAGAGACCTCGGGCCGCCGCCAGGTTGGTAGGGACCAGTCGTGCGGCCTGTTGTCGACCAAGGTTGCGGGTTAACCCTTTTCTTGTTTGGTTTGTTTTCCTTTGGTTGTTGTTCTCTGGTGTGTGGGAAACCCTGATCTTTGGGACCGGGGATTGGTTTGCTTTTGGGGAACCTTTCTTTTGTGGCTTGTTTACCCCAACTTACCCATTGCCTGGGCACAGGCTCGTGCCCGAACCACAGGTTATCAGCCGTAGGACTTTCCTACGCGCTTGAGACCATCAACTACAAGCTCTATGTCGACCCCACGATCTCGAAGGAGTGTCGTGGATGAGGAGGACCATCCTAGGGGGCCTCCGCTCAGGTGAGGACCTACCGGACTATGACTACGAGGATTTCGAAGCAGGTTCGACGGGTCAGGATCGCAGGGGTGAAGATCCCGGTAGGGACACACCCAGGAGCCGTGGCAGGTACACGGACGACGGAGACGATCGTATTTTTCGTCAGGCCACTGATGACGAGCAGGCACAAAGAGTTCGCTCCGATAGGGGCGGCTCTGAGTCAGGTCGCAGGCGCGGACAGTATGACTTCATCAGCATGGCGATGAACATGGCCCGCCCTCATTCGGACGACCCGGAGGCTATGCCGACCCGACCCCCGAGATCTCTTGTTCCAGGTGAGTCGCAGGTCTCGGATGGGTTTGAGGACAGGCCGCAAGGACCAGGGACTATGGTCTTGGCTCCGAGAGATATCTTGGGGTCGATCCACTGGTTCTCAAAATCCAGGTAGTTTGATGAGCACGAGGAGCGGAAATTCTCAGACTTCGGATACGATGCTCTGTTGAAATCAACCGCAGGTTGGGGCAGTAGCTCAAAGCAGGGATCTGATGCCGGTAGGCCCAACCCTAATACTGCCAAATCTGAGTCTTATGATGGCGAGGATTACCATTTTGCGGATGAAGAGGAGGACCAATCACGCCGAAATGCTAGGGTCCGTGAAGCTGCGAGGCCCAGGAGCCTCTCTCGTGGGGCCGCCAGGGACCTTCGTGTTGACAGGGACGTCCGAAGCGAGAGAGAGAGGGCCGGGGACAGTCGGGAAGTTCTTCACGGATTGGAGGCCATCCATGACCGTGATGGACCGATAGGTCCCCCGGCGATTGGTGATACCCCGAATGTTCCTCCTTTTCCCAACATTACCTTTGGAGGTCCGTTGAATCAGAGAGACGTGAACTCGAACCGGGTTACTGGTTCGCCGAGGATCACTGAGCGGGCTGCCGATGTCGTTAGGACAGGTGCCAGAGATGGTCGGCTTGCCGGTGCACTCGGGATCGAAGATCGTCCGTCGATCGCTAGCCCGTTAGGGCGAGATACCAGCGATCTTGAAACGCTGAGGTCTAGCAACGAGTTCACACCTCAATGGGGCTCGACCGCCAGGGACCGTAGTGTTTCTGCGAAGAGGCCGTCACCTCTCGCCATTGAGACCGATAGGTCGAAGGCGAGGAGGGCTAGCCCCTCACCAATGGGCTTGACTGTGCAGGATGAGGAGATGCCCGATCCTGCTGATGTTCACATTCACTCTACCCCCGAGTCCCGTGCATCCAACATTGATCCCCGACCTGGCGATAGCCGGAGAAGGGGATCTACCAGGATTGTCCTGTAGGCGACCCCAGGAGACATGCCGGGGCTAGTGGGGCTCCTGAGAGGATCGAGATATCGACTCCTCCCGCCCTCAGATCCCAGTCTTCCGGCGAATCAGGTGACGCTAGGGCAAAGGAGGTGTTTGATTTGCACATCCAGGAGATGCTCGAGAGGGGTGAGGTTTCTGGCTCAGTCGCGAAGGCGTTCCATATTTTTGCTGACCAAATCAGGTTACTGAATGGTCAAGTGAGTTCCATGCGAAGGGAATGGAGCGACGAGAGTCAACAGACGAAGGACAAGGTCGATCGCCTGGCAGCTGAGGTTGCGACCCAATCTGATGCCGGGAGGATGCGAATGATAGTTCAGCGGTTTGCAAGGGAAGTTATTCCCGACAGCAAAGCCATTGTGAGGCAAGCCATCGATGAACAGGCTGAAGTCGTGGAGCAGAGGATCAATCTACTTTCCCATGAGGTTCACGAATCTGTTAAGGACAATGAGGCTGCGACTGATCGGCTTCGCCAGATGATTCAAGAGAATCGTGAGGCCGTCCACAGGAGCCATGCTGCTTCCGAGGATGAGATCCTTAAGGACTTGGACAAGCTCGAGGGACGGATGTTCTCGGTAGAGAAAACCGTCGGGATGCGGACGCCAGCAGGTGAATGGAATTTGAATCCTGTCGCGCAACAGTCCGATAGGGCCAGTAGCAGTGTGGTGAACGCGAATTTCAGAGAGTTAAATCTGAAGCTCGAGAAGGCCCTCCTTGAACACGAGAAGTTTGCTAAGTGGGCCTCCGAATCCATCGGTGGCATAAATGAAGAGCAAACCCTTCTCGCTAATCGGATGTCGAGGCTGCAAAGTGGAAGGGGGTCACAGGCGATCGAGAGATCATCAGGGCCCGTATCCCCGCAGGACCGGCAGGAAGCAACGGACGAAGCCAATCGAAAGGTCCAGGATCTATCTCGTGGAGTTCAACGCCACCATGGGGACCATGACGATGTCCTTGCAAGGTTTGAAACCTTGAAATCCCGCGTTGAGCAGTACGAAGCGAGTTCGGGAATTCTGAATCAAGTTCTTGATGACATCAGAAGACAGATCCGCAGTCTCCCTGCGAATAGTGATCAAGCACGGTCTGCCGTTAGGCGTGAAATTGACTCATTCAGGAGTACGCTTGAGGGCGCTATGCGGAGGATCAGCACTGTTGAGAGTAACATGCGTACTCTTAATGGGGCGGAGGTGTTGATTTGGTTGATCACGCGTTGCCAGATATGCCCGGTAGGGTCGATCCTTCTCGTGCAGACAGCCATCCCATTAATCCCGATAGGGAGAGGGCTGACAGCAGAAGCAGGAGGGCTCGGGGGTTGCCTGACAGGTCGCATTCACCGCCAGGGCGTGCGAGGGATGGCCCCCGCGCGCGTTTCTCCCAATAGGGATGTGGGTAGGAATAGGAGCCCGAGGCCTGCTGCCGTCCCCGATAGGGGATCTGAGGTCCGGAGTCGGCAATCAGGGGGAGTAGGCCAACGTCCAGAGTCCCGGCGATAGGTGGAGGACCCCCGGAGCTCCGTCTGATCGTGGACAGGCCTCGGCGCCGGCCGCAAGAGGAGCTCCTGGCACCGGTGGCCCAGTCCCTCGATAATCCCAACGACCGTAGGCACCCGGACGCTGAATTCTCGTGTGCTACGTGCAATCGTGAGTTTTGCAGGCTTTGCCGGGGTGACGACGGGGACTGAGGATCACAGCTATTTTGGCAATGATGGCCGCGAGCGATGTGCGCGCTGCAATATTCGGCATGAACGTGCTAACGCTGGACCGCCTCCTCCTCCCCCTCCTGGGGGGGAGGTGGGCAAGGCGGACCACCCGGTCAAGGTGGGAGCGGAAGCGGTGGTCACGGACATGCTCCATTTCCACCACCAGGTCCTGGACATCCTGGCGGGGCCAAGGACCCTGGACCTCCTGCAGCCGGAGTGGTGGGGCTCCTACCGGGGGATACCCTGGTGGAGCGCCTGGGTTCTATGGTAGTGCTGCTGATACTCATGGAACTGGGAACAATCAGTGTGGTTCCAGTTTCTATGGTCCTGCCTACGGTAGCCACCAAGGGGTTGGCGGCCAGGTCTTAGCCTTGGCTACAGTGTAAATGGGGCCGGTAGGGGAGATGGTGGTCTTCTCCCTGAAGCCTTGAGGGGAGATGATGGATGGGACAAGTGTACTAAGTGTAGCAGGATCCCTGAGCCTGGTTTCCCTCTTGTTCCTTGCGTTGGTTGTGGAATGAGGGCGTGTGAAGTTTGCTGCCCTATGACTGTGTGAAAGTTGCAGGATTACCTCATGTACCCCGATAGGGGCTCTGATTTCCACCGTTGTCGATAAGGATCGGTTCCATCATAAGTGCAACACGATCGTGCTGCCCTGCTGAGCCGACAGCTGATAAGCTGCGGGAGTGGCTTTCCGAGATAAAGGAAAGGGTCAGGAATGCTTTCAGCTTTGATTCTGACTACGCGTTAGCGTGGATTTCAGAGACTGAGAGGCTTGACTATGATGCCCTTGGTGGACCCTGCAAGTACCCGATTTTGGATTCCAACTTTGG